GTTCTCATCAGAGTCTAACCAGGCCATAGGACAAGATGCCGTTTTCCCTGAAGTTCTTTCAGGTTAGAATAGATGACCTTGAATTCAGAAACTTTCCAATCGAGCCTAACGGTGGACCCAGGAGGGAGGCGTTTTTCCTGCTTTCATGTGTCCTTACCTCTATGTACCCTTCCTCTGTTGGATTATTTGGTTTTTCAAAAGGTAAAGCGAATAACCCCAGTTCAGAATGCTTCTCCTGCTCTTCCTCCCGAGTCCCATGTTCATCCTTTAGAAACCAGAGGCTTCCTTTCCCCGGGGGCTTCTTGGAAGCTTTTCTGCCTATGCTGACGGCCCTCCTTCCTAGACAATTCATAGTCTCTGTCAGTGACCTTGGTGCTTATTATGTTTTCATTAAAAAAACAAACAATTTCCACTGACTATTATCTCCCCAATTGGACTGTATACTATTTGAGGGTAGCAACCCAAATATGTAAAACTTACTAAATTACACTTTTTCCTAAAAAATGAAATCGGGTTATTAACAAATACTATTCTAGCTATAGGCCTTCTTGACATAAAATGACCAATTCAGATCTCCTCAAAATAGGCTGAGCAGTGTTAACAGGTGTGCCATGAATTAAGATGGCCTGGTCAATGAAGTTTGGGGAATGCTAAACAAAAACAGATTTTCCAGCTGCAGGACTTGTCAGGGCTCTGAATATGGTCCTATGTATTGTGAAACTGATGGGGAGAGAGGGATAGAATCTACGGTATTTCCCACAGATTTTGAGTCTGGAACCCTTTCATCTTGTAGTACCTTGCAGTGCTAATGTGTCCAAACTCTGGGGAAGCTACACTCTAATATATTCCCCAGGGCTGGGGTGCAACTGGGAAGTTGCAAAGGATAATGCTCCCTCCTTCTGAGTAGGATGCATTCTGGCATCTAGTAGGAGGAAGAGGTCCAGGGTCACACCTGCCATTTTCCAGTCCTTTCAGTTGCCCAGGCCCATCGGACTGAGCCTAGCAGAGCCCTGCACCTTCAAAGCCATCCCCTCGAGGACAGGGACCTGTGTCCCTGGGTTCCTTTAGTAGTGCCCAGCCCCTGCCCAGGCTTACTGACGTGACTCAGTTCCTCTCATCCCTACTGCTGCCTCAAGCCATGTGGAGCAGCCCAGAACTGTGAAGAACTTGGAATATAAGCCATCTATTCACAGATTCCGGAGCAGCCAAGGACCCAGCCAGCTTGGCCCCCACTCCTGACCCCACAGACCTCATTCACAGGTCCTTCCACAAAAGTCGCCAACGCATCCTTTCCTTCCCGTTCCTCCAGAGAGCCCATCCTGAAACCAGAAAGCAGCTCTGTGTGTCACCTCCAGAGAGAGAGAGAGTGCCTTTGTTCAGAGAAATGGTCAACTTCCCAGACACCAGCTCAGACCCAGGTTATGGATAATACTCTGTCTCTGTGCCCTCCATGCACTCCTTGTTTAGCGGGGAGGCACAAAAGCAGCATGGAAGAAATACCAAGCATCGGCTAATCTCTGTAAAGAGCTGAGCTGGACCTAAAAGGATGGGCAAAGATAATT